GCTGCCTCCATTGTGGATTGTCTAGATGGCGTCCACTGAAGGAGGCATGCGCAGTGGTTTTTTTAAAAAAAACTTTTTGCGTATAGGCGTCACAGTGCGTCCTTGTTGAAGGAGGCATGCGCAGTGGTTTTTTAAAAAAACGTTTTGCACATGCGCATAGATATGACAGCACGTCCTTGTTGATCCGCACATGTGTAGAGATTTTTTAAAATGGCACCTGCTTGGGATGGTCTGACATCAGACCACCCCGACGGGAGGATTGCACGCTGGTGGAACGATCAGACGGGTGAAAGTCTACAGTTGTCCCGCAGGTAACCGAAAACCCTAGATTTAAAGTGCTATCTTTTAAGTATAGCTCCAAAGCACTGCAAAAACGGGATGCCCACGGAAGAGGGACATTTCCCAGATGTTTGTGTCTGGACATTACCTTTAGATCCGTGAGGCAATCATGCCTCGCGCGGATCTAAAGAGCCGTCTGATCGGACTCTAAGAGCCATATATTTTATATGGAAAATTTTGACCCATGGGAAGTGACATGATCTGGCAATGAAAATGTAGCACAAGAAATGTGTCTCGTAGTTGGTAAGATAGACAAATGAATGTTCCTTGGAGGCATCAGGCATTGGGCTTCAGCAAACCGACTCTTTTGTTTGGCTGGCTTGCTACCAACAAGCTGGCAACGGTTCTTTTTCGAGAGCCAAACCACATCGCCAGGTGGTTTAGGAGGACCAGTTTGTATGTTCAGCAAAACCGAGAGCTAAAAATCTTCCTGGATGATACCGCTTCAGTCTACAGGTGAGGGTGCCAGGGTTTGAGTGATTTACCATAAAACAGATTCCCAGTGCGCAGAATGCCGGCAAGTCTGGGGAAAAGTCAGGCCGGTCCTCCTGTAAAATATATGAGTTTTGTATGTGCAAATAGTTCTTAATTTTTTAATAAAGGAAGGACTGTTCAAACATGTAGCCCCCTTCCTATCTGTAGCCTGAAGTGGCACTGTAGCTAAGACCGATTTTGCGTGTATCATTTCGTGCCCCCCTGAACAGCAGTTAGTATGCAAGTGTGAAAGGCAGTTTTAAATGCACCTATATCAAGTTTTTAAATCAGTTGATGAAGAAAGGAAGAGCGAAGACACAACCGCATGTCAGTCTCCCTGCTATTTTTGGTAGTCCCTACGATCAGATATATTCTATTTTAAGGCCTCTGCCCTTCATTTTTCCCCACAGTTAGGGCTGCCAACTCTGGGTTGAAAAATTCCTGGCAAATTTAGGGGTGGAGCCCTGCGAGGAGAGGGACCTCAGTGGGGTATAATATCATAGAGTCCACCCTCAACAGCAACCATTTTCTCCAGAAGAACTGATGTCTCTAGTCTGGAGATCAGTTGTAATTCCAGGAGATCTCCAGGCCCCACCTGGAGGCTGGCAGCCCTACAAGAGTTGTATAAATTTGGGGATAAGGTTTTCAGATTGTAATTTCCCCTCTCTGTATAGTACTGTCACAGGTATGGCACAGCTCCCTGACCTCATCGTTCCCCTTTTCCCATGGCAATGGGCAGGGCTTTTTTTTGTAGAAAAAGCCCAGCAGGAACTTATTAGCACAATAGGCCACACCCAACAGCTGAAACTCATTAGCGTATTAGGCCACATCCTGATAGCACAGCTCATTCGCATATTATTGCCCAGGCAAGCCCCCCCCCTTGAAGGGAAGGGAAGGCTGAGGAAGGCACAGGGAGGCATTTAAATGCCTCCCCGATCCTTCCAAGGGCCCCCTGGCCCACCCACCTCAGAGTCGCCGGGGGTGGTGGTGGTCGCTCTCCAGGCCTTCCCTCTGTAGTAGGGCTGCCAAGTAGGGGCGGGTGGCGGGTA